TCGGGAAAGCCTCTCTCTCAGCTGAACCTTCCCCAGGGCCCTCCTGGTAGTTCTGACGGAGCTGGGCTCTCTGCACACATTGGCTGCAAGTCTCTGGTGCAGTCCCCCAGGGTGAGGAGAGTAATTAACTAAAAGGATGTAAGTCCCACATAGCACAGAGGTAGTGGTTTTTACACTCCTCTTTAACTAGGCCGCCCTTCTTTGAGATAAACATGTCTGCAAGCCTAGACTGTAAAACCAATGAAATAGGAGAGGTGCAGACTCGGGTTCTACCAAAGCCCTCACATGGGTCGTGCGGAATCCGGTTAGTGAACGTGAGGTGGGTGTCAGTCAGGTGCGCTCAGATCGCGGTTCTCAATGTAAAGTTAGGACATCCTACCAGCTCCCATCCACGTGGAGGCCACAGAACACAGCAGGGCAGGGAGATTTCACTGCATCGCTCTTGGGAAAGACATAGTGTTGGACTTTGTGTGTGTGTTTTGTAGAGATCATACTGAATGAATCACAACTTTATATTTTTCTGCTGAACTAGAGCTCTCTCCAGTTAATATGTGTCCATCTTTCTAGATTCAGTAATTATGTAACAAAGGTCAGACTAATAGTGACTTGAGCAAGAACAGAGTGGAAGTTAATGTTCCTCTCTCATGTGATCATTGATGGTAAGCAGCAGTGCGGGCTTGGTGGCAGCTCCCCGGTGTCAGAGACCAAGGCTCCTTATGTCGTGCTGCTCTGCCATCCTCCGTAGATGGCTTCCATCTCGTGGTCAAGGATGGATGCACCATTGTCCATTAGCACAGCCACATTCCAGCTACACCGGGGTGAGGGGGACCTGGAGGGCAAGCTCATTCCCCCCTGGGTACGGCCCAGAAGATGCATTTAATACTCCTGCTCACATCCCATCGGTCATAACTTAGTCACATGCAGCATCTAGCTCCCAGGGAGCCTGGGAAGTATGGTCTTTACCCCAGGCAGCTATGTACGCTGATAAAACCTGGGGCTTCTAATACTAAAGGAAGGAGGGGAGAATGAATATTCAAGAGCAACGGGCAGATTCTGGCATAGGCCAGGCCAGGCCAAATGCTGGACGATGCGGCCCAAATGCCTCGGCCTGTCATCGACTTAATTCGCCATTTACTGGGCACCAAGTCTGTGGCCATGGGACTCAGAGATAACACACCGGCTCTTCTGCAAACTTCTCCATACAGTCTAGAATGGGCAGACAGATAAGAAAAGCCTGGTTTGGGGTGACTGAGTTCCTGGGACAGCTGGGGGAGGCTTGGGGTGGGGTGTGTGGCAGAAGATCAGTGCTGGAAACTAGTGGATATTTAGCAAGTAGTGGCGAGTGGTATTCTCCGTGTTCCCAAGCACTCCGGACGGTTGAGGAGTGAACTGGGCTGGCGCATGCGGAGAACTTGGCCAGGACTCGTTTTCCACACCGAGGCATTTGGACCATATTCTGTAGGGATGGGGCCGAGTAGGGAGATGGGGGCGGGGATCCATTAAGTCTCCACCTGCTCCCAGCTCAAGTCTCCATTCTTGTCTTCACACTCAGCTGCACCCTGTTCTCTGCCGCGGGTTCCATGTACCTTCCTCACCTGTGCGCCTTTCTCAGGCACTGTGTGTCCTCATTGTCTGCCAGTCCAGAGCCTACTCATCCTTTAAGGCCCAGATGAGAGGTGTGGTTATTCCAGGCCACAATGTTTCACCCCAGAACTCATTAGCTCTACTCCACATTCTTGTTGTGGCTGTGGTACTGTTCTCATCATATAAACGGGGGCATTGATGCATTAAGAGGGTAAGTACATGCCCCCATCTCACAGCTAGAGAGAGGTCGTGGGCAGCAGAGACCCTGATCTATTGTCCTTTCTGCTTGCTGGCCTGGGGATTCTGCTCGGGGCAGCGGTGTTCAGATTCAGGGTCACGGGAGTCTGCAGCAGGGTGGTGAGCGGAGGGACAGGGAATAATGTGGGATAATGGGGAATAATGTGGGAAAATGAGGACTAATGGGGAGAGAGGAATCCTTAGCTCAGGCGTACAGAGGGGCTTCCTTAGAACTGCCCCCAAATGCTGAGGCTATATCAGAGTGCCCACGCCACAAAGTGCCACACTAGAATTTAAATCTAGGACTCTGAACCCACTGGATTTTGTTTCATTTTTTGGAAGTTTACACTACACAGGAAAGAAATTCAGTGTATACTGATAGTCTCACTAGCCAGAAGTTAACAACTGTTAAGGTTCCAGTTTTCAAGGAAGAGGCACAGACTTTTCTAACAGTAACATAGAATGGTTCTCTTTAATAAAAATGATTCAAACTGCCCTGGCCAGTTTGGCTCAGCGTTGGTTAGAACGTTGGCCCATGGACCAGAGAGTCCCGGGTTTGGTCCCCACTAAGGGCACGTACCTCGGATGCAGTGTGTCCCCAGCCCCGGTTGGAGTCGTGTGGATGGCAGCCACTCGATATGTCTCTCACATCGATGTTTCTCTCTCTCGCTCTCTCTCTTCCTTCCTCTCTATCTGAAGAGAAATGCAAAAGGTCCTCAAGTGAGGATAAAAATAATAATAATAATAATAATAATTCAAACCACAAAGATGAGAATTTAAAAATTATTCCAAATCCTATCATTCAGAAATTCCTATCTTTTTTGTGTGTTAATCCTCACCTGAGAATATTTTTTCCGTTGATTTATAGATAGAGTAGAAGGGAGGAAGGGAGAGAGAGAGAAACATGGATGTGAGAGAGACACGTTGATTGGCCGCCTCCCGCATGGCCCTGATCAGGGCCAGGGATTGAACCTGCAACCCAGGTGCATGTCCTTGACTGGGACTCGAACCTGCGACTCTTTGGTCTGTGGGACTGACGCTCTAACCACTGAGCAAACAAGCCAGGGAAGAATTTTCTATTTTTTACTCTAGTGGCAGTCATTCTAGGTATCTTTCCAGGGACAGATATAAAGATAAATCAACATACTTTCATCAGCATGGGTCATGCTCCTGTCTAACACAACAGCCACCAGCCATGTGTAGCTAGCTCTTGACCACTTGAAATGTGACAGGTTTGGATTGAGATGTGCTGAGTGTACAGTACACACTGGCTTTGGAAACTCTTAAGATGAAAAAAGAATATAAATATCTCAATAATTTAAAAATATTACTTGTTAAACTGATAATATTTTGGTTATATTGAGTTAAATAAAATATATTATTAAAGTTAATTTCAACTGTTTATTTTTGAATAAAGCTACTAAAATTTAAAAAATAGCATATGTGCCTTAAATGTACTTCTATTGGACAGTAGTACTCTATTTTTAAAAAATAAGGTGTTAATAAGTATTCATGGGAAAAAAAAGAGAATCTGAAGGAATTGTTTAGGTCCAAATAAACGTTTTACCATGTGACATTATTTCTTAAAAGTGTTCAATAAAGTTTTAAAAATATTGGTGTCATGTAGTGTTTAAAGAAACACACACACATATTTCAGTGTTTTGAAAGATGAGGACATTGTCCTCTGAAGAGCCTCCCAATTTTTGATATAGTATTGTTTTTGCATTGTATTGGTTTATTATAGTCAGATTCTATTTGTAACAGTAATTCTTATGAGCATTTGGTATTGTGCATGTCGATGCCCGGACACGCACCAGCAGGCCTTGGCCTAAATGTCCTTCACCACTGAGCCCTCGATTCCTTTATTAGCTGGATTTCCACTCTTCTGGGAGGATGCTGCTTAGTGCCTCGTACCTGCCTGGTGTTGCGCTGGGTCCATCCCCTGGGTTACACTTGTGTCCTGTGGAGACACTGCTGTGGGTCCTGCCTGATGTCCTCAGCGATTTGCTTTTTCTTGTTGGACCACTACAGAATTTCAGCAACTTAACTCTGCTCGTTCTGGTGTTGCTTAGCTTCTCCCAGGACCTCAGGTGTCGTCTCTACCGCATACTTTTTGGCTTCCCAATACACAGACAGAGGCCCTGCTGAGAACCGTAGACTCGGCAGCTTTGGGTCACTGAGCAGAAGACTTGGAAAGGATCTCGGTCCAGCACCCGGCCTTTGGTGGACCTGCCCCCACCCCGAGTCTCAGTTAGTTTTAGGGTGCACAAATAATAGACATACCTATTGTTTTTCTACGACCAGAATGTTCAAGATAAAGCTAAAGTCCATTTTGGCCACTAACCCGAGCTGAGGTTGTTTTTCCTGCACCACAGTGGTAACCACGACCTTTTAAGGTTGCTCTTATGTTTCAATGGAATTATGTTCTGTCCCATTACAGGAGAAACAGACTATGCTCAGGCTGCTGCAGGAATTGTTTGGGTCTGTTCAGAACAGTTTGGGTGTGTGGATCCCAAAGAGCCGCTGCTAGAATGAGCTTTTTATTCTAATTAACAAGCTGACACAGACGATAACGAAGTTATAGCTATAAGTATTGCACTCTTAGGAATAAAGTCTTCGTACAAATGTTCCCCGATATCAGTGTCTGTATAATTTTGATTTTGAGACAAAAACAGATAGCCTGCATTCAGGTCATTTTGACACAAGCTCGTTTTAAGAATCTGACTGTACAAGAAACATTCTACCAGCTCGTAGAAGCCATAGAACACGGAAGGGCAGGGAGAGTTCACTGCGTTACTCTCGGAAAAGGCAGTGTTGGGTTCTGTGTGTGTTTTGTAAAGATCATCCTGAATAAACCACAAGACAACGTTGTGTTTTTCTACTGAACTAGAGCTATCTCCATGTGAATCCATCTTTCTAGATTCAATTACGTGACAAAGGATGACAGTGCCTGAGCCACCGCCTGTTTGAGTGCATACTACTGGGACTAGTCATTAGTTCTTTACTAATGACTAGGCTGCACTGTCAGATGGTGCCTACTTAGACCCCGTCCGAAGCTGTGAAGTTCCAGACAGCCTTTGCTGGGGCGTGGGGCAGGGTGGTGGTGGTCCTGAGGTCCGGGGGAGGGTTCCCAGGACACAGGCCATTCCTTGCTGAGCATCTCACTTTGTCCTTTGTAGATGACATGGCAGAACTTCTCCTCGGGGAGTCGAAGCTGGAGCAGTACCTGAAGGAACACCCCCTGCGGCAGGGGGCCAGTCCCCGAGGCCCCAGGCCCCAGCTGACTGAGGTCCGCAAGCATCTGACCGCCGCCCTGGACCGTGGGAACCTCAAGGTACTGTGGGCCTCTGGGATGAGGGGGCCACTGGGAGATGCTGGCATGTTTGGGAGCTGTGTGTTTGGGAACGATGCCTGTGGACACCTGGGTGGTGTTTGGAGCACATCTCACTGCAGTGGTTTGTCTTCTTGGAGCCAGGCCAGCTCCTTGTGTGATCCATGTGGCGACCTGAGGCTGGCTGGCTGGCCGGCCACCTTGTAGGGGCTTCAGGCTCAAAAGAGTCTCTCTGATGAGAGCCTTCAGTGACATATTATTTTGAAAAATGTCACTAACTTTCCCCAGGTGCTTGGAATAAGCTGTCATATGTAACCCAGAGCTCAACCTGACACCCTGTTCCACTATAGGAAACAAAGAGGTTGATCAGTTGGCCACTTATTACACAATTTCCTGCCTAAAATATGTCGTCCATGAATGTCCCATGAGTGGCCCAGAGCTGTGTGGGGTTCCTACTGGTGATGGCAGACCCTGTACCTTGGTGTGGGAGGGAACCAGGACGGGAACTTCCCTCTGCCTGAGCCACGACCTTCATCCCCAGGGCACAGGAAACCTTGTGCACCGCCCTTCTATTCAGCGGCCTGTTTTCTGTTCTCCTTTTGTGCTGGCTTTCCGTCTCCCTGTCTAGCCTTTCCTTTCTTGCTTCTTCGGATCCCCTTTCATCCCACCTTCCCTGGCCCTGCCCCTGGCCCACCATCCTCCCCAGCATTGCCTGTTATGTCTGCTCCCTTTCAAGGAATGCCTGGAAGCGACCGCCTTGGCTGAAACAGCTGCTTCGCCATGCTCTGGCTGGTTACCTGTGTGCGGTCTACCCTTCACAGCTATAGATTACAGAATACATGCTTCTGAAAGCTGGAAAACCTAACCTTGTATAGCTTAGCTCCCAAGGAGAAGGCCTGGGAGATGGTGATAAATCTGTTTCCTTATATAGATGGCTGGGTGGCTTCTTCTTTCTCTGCTATGAGTGGGGGTGGGGCAAGCCAGGAGTCTGAGGCGGGTGGGTGTGGCCTAGGGAAGCTGACCTCTCCCGCCTGGACTGGAAGGAGAGCCATCAGAGGACGGCTGGAGCTTGCAGCCTCTGGGGAGAGGACCCAGGCTCAGTAACCGTAACAAGAGAGAATGACTCAGCAAGAAGTTTGCCCCTGGAAAGCCAGCAAGCCAGCCCTGACTTTTGCACCCCTGGAAAAAAAGCCAGCCCTGATTTTTAGACCAGTTTCGGGCTGTTCAGATTACACTCCCAGCGCAGTGGGCAGGACCCCCGAGGATGCCCGTGGAAGCTTCCTTTTTGTGAGACAGGTGGCTATATGTTTGTTCATAAAGCATTCCTTCCATTTTTGCTCCAGGTCAGCCCCACTGCCTGAGGGGAGCCTCGAGTTTTTTGTTTTGTTTTCAACAGTTTTATTGAATTATAATCCTCATGCCATAAAATCTACCCATTTAAAGTGTACAATTCAGTGGTCTTTAGAATGTTCAGAGTTGTGCAACCTTTACCTGAACGTTGGAACATTTTCCTCACCCCTAACCATTAGCAGGCTCCCCTGTTCCCATCCTCCCAGCGCAGGTGAGCACTGGTCTGCACCCGCCTCTGCAGCAGCCCGTCCTGGCCACGTCCCGCACGCCCAGAAGCCCTCGGGCCTGGCTTTTTCACTTGGCACACGTTTCAGAGGTTTACCCTCTGCGCCGGGGTTCCTTCCTCACTGTGGCGAGTACTGTTCCACTGAGTGGCTCCACCCCGTTGTGCTCACCCACCTTCAGCCGATGGATGTTTGGGTTGTTTCCACTTCGGGCTACTGTGAGCAGTCCCGCGGCGACCGACCGTCCGCGCCGCTCCTGTCAGAGAGCCCGGCTGGCGACAGCAGGTGGCTGGGCCCTGGGCGGTGCCCTCCATAGTACAGTAGGAAAATGTCTTTTCTCTCCTTTTCCTTCTAGTCAGAATTGCTACAAGAGTCCAATCTGATCATGGCCAAGGTGAACTACGTGGAAGGAGATTATAAAGAGGCGCTCAACATCTACGCGCGGGTGGGCCTCGACGACTTGCCGCTGGCCGCTGTCCCTCCTTACAGGTTGCGGCTGTTGGCGGAGGCCTACGCTACCAAAGGTGAGGCCCGCGCCACCTGTCCCTGGGAGGGTGTCCCCCAGGGTCGTGCTGATTGGGGCCAGCAGAGCCTCCCTGGAGCCTGCAGTTTGACCCCTTGCCCTTGGCTGGTGATCAACCCTGACAACTCCCAGCGAGGCCACAGCGTGGGCCCCAGGCTGGCGCTGGTTAGCCTGGAGCCGAGCAACATGACTTCCCCAGAGCTGCAGGTCTCAGTGATCACTGGAGGAAATGAAGGAAACACATTTCAGCGGAGTTTTCTGATCATTAATATGCAACGGAAGCAGGGACTTCTCTTGGTAATTAAAATGCTGCAGAATATTTATAGGGATTCTTATTACATGGCCAATTGGCCACGTGGCTGACCACATGTTTATTCACTGTGCCACCTCTGTGTTAATGAAGGGCTAAGTGGCTGCTACATGTGGCAGTCAGTACAGCAGTCAGTCATCAGTGTTTAACCGTGTGCCCTGGGGCTCGGGGGATAGAAGGAAGGGTAAGCGTCACCCTGGTTGCCATGAAGGAGTTTGTAATCTACTGTGAGAAGATGCAGTCCCCTGGAAAGAATGACAGAGAGGCAGGGCACACATGTTTGACTTTTTCTTTCTTTTTTTTTTTTATCATCCTCACCCGAGGACATTTTTCCATTTTTTGTTCAGGTAGAGTGGGAGGGAGAGAGAGGAACAGAGAGAGAGAGAAACATTGATGTGGAAGGGACACATCGAGTGGTCGCCACCCGCACAACCAACCAGGGCCGGGGACAAACTGCAACCGAGGTACATGCCCCTAGCGGGAACCGAACCCGGGTCTCTCCAGACCGCAGGCCGATGCTCTAACCGCTGAGCCAAACCGGCCAGGGCATGTTTTTCCAAGTTGCCACTTCCTCATCTGTGAAATGGGTACAATCACATCCACGTCATAGACTTGTGAAGATCACATCAAATAGTGTTTGTAAAGCACTTAATACACTACCTGACATATACTAAATGTTACTAAATGGCATTTAAAAATGTTAGCCCCAAACAAGGTAGCAAATGGTAAAAGCTGAGAATGGGTAACAGCTCTTCGGAGGCAGGCCAGCAGGGCCAGGAACACTTCCTGGAGGAGGAGGCCTCTGGGCTCCTAACGGCCACTGTAAGAAATGGACCGTCTGAAACATGAACCAGCTCCTCTCCTTCCTGTCACCCACTGTCCAAGCCATGCACTGTGACTGACGGTGGGTGGCCCAGAGGCCACGGCCCCGGGTGGGGTGACCTCCAGAACAGCAGCGAGCTGGCTGCTGTGTGCTGCCGGCTGTCTGACTTGGTGTCCTGTGCCATGCTGAACAAAGACCCAGCTCGAGGCACACTTAAGAGCTTTGTGATGGGGGTAACATACTTACCAGGTTCCCTGGGGAACCTCAAACACTGCCAGGCTCATCTAATTAATCTTCTAAACATCCCTGCAGGCTAGGAAAGGACGCTGTCACTCTCGACAGGCCATGCTGGCGGATAACGGACAGTCCTTTCAGGCTGTCTCGGGTCCTGAGAGCGCCTGGCCTGCGTTGGCATCTGTCTGAGTCGGGGTGTACTGGGGTCTGTGCCACATAGTTGCCCTCTTCTCTCTCTGATGCTCACTGAGCCACCTCATGTGCCTTGGGCATCTGGGAGCTGTGTGTGTGTGTGTGTGTGTGTGTGTGTGTGTGTGAGAGATTTCCGGCCAGGAATGATATTCTGTGTGTGTGTGTGTGTGTGTGTGTGTGATTTCCGGCCAGGAATGATATTCTGCAAGAGAGCAAAGCTGCTTTTGGCAGTTCCCAGTTACCTGGTTGATGGTACCTGGTACATTGCAGCCAGGAGTTGGTTTGCTAGTTAAGGCTGGGGGATGGCTCTAGGGCTGCTTAGCAGCAAGAGCTCTTAGTATTGGCTCTCAGACAGCCTGGGGTAGCAGACCTCCCGCCGGTAGCACTGCCAGCTTAGCCTTGTGGTTTCCATGTGAAGGGGGCGAGGAGGACAGGGGACTTGGTCCCTGAGTCTGGCCCTGGGTGATATGTGGTTAGTAGTGGGTCCCCAGCCATGGGGCTGAGGCACATGGCTCTTGAGCCACATTGGCTGGCTCGTGGGACAGGTGGCCCTAGCTAGTTTCTAACTCTGTAGGCACAGGTGGTCACACAGGGAGAAGGAAGGGTCACGTTTGCCTGGAGGAGGGGCCTGCAGCTGCGGAGGCCCCGAGCCCGAGAGGCTGCCTGCGGGGATGGTTATGCTGAACCATCTGCCTGGGCCCCGCTCCCAGCCTCTGTCCTGTTCTGGCTGTGCGACCTTGTCCAGCTTCTTCAGGTCTCTGGGCCCCTATTTCCCATCTGTCAGGCTCTCATTGGATTGTCGTAAAGATTATGTGAGACCGTATATGTTAAATGTTTAAAACAATACCTGGCACACAGTGAGCGTGAAGGAAATGTTAGCTTAAAAGATAAGTGTTTGGTGGGGAAACCACTAGACATGACTTATCACAACAGGAAATTGCCCCTGTAGTTCACAGAAATGCTCAAAGACAGGCCAGTTCTCCGAGGAGTCAGGAGGCCCTTGGCCGGGCTCTGTGTCCGAACGTGTTCGGTTTTCCTTTCTTCATCGAGTCCCTGGGAGTTTTTAAGGGCCGATTGCCAACAAGGATTCGATGAGTGTTAGTGTACAAAGCCCTCTTAAATCAGAAGCCGCGAACCACTGACCTGCAGGCGTCTGAGGCGGGGTTTGCTTAGTCAGTTCGGTGTTTCCAACGCTTTTGAATGAGTTGCTAACATTTCCAAATCGGCGACAGTTAACAGTTTGGCTTTCCATCTTCTTGGGCAAAAAGGGAAGCGCTGTCTCCTCATTCTCCCAGGGAGGACCAGGCTGGAGCGGAGCGCAGCTGCCCCTTGGATGGGCTCGCGCCCAGGCCACGCCCTGCCCTGGGCCCCTGCATACTGCTGGAGGTGGTGGGATTGACCTGCACACATTCATGGGTCACCTAAACTTTTCCATGGTCTCCTGAGGTCTGACTCCACCGGGGCGGTCCGCCAGAGCCTGGGAGAGTCAGTGAACCCCCACAGCTAATTCTTCCGGCCGTGGCCGGGAGTGCTTCCTCCAGCCAGGTGATGTTAGTGAGGTTTATTGGGAATCTGAAGCCAACATCATTCAGTTATGGAGAACTTTCCGGCCAACACCATGTTAAGGCTTTACTTTATTTATTTTATTTTAATTTTTTTCTTTATTAATTTTTAGAAAGAGAGGAAGGGAGAGGGAGAGAGTTAGAAACATCGATGAGAGAGAACATCGATTGGCCGCCTCCTGCATGCTCCCTACTGGGGATCAGGCCCACAACCTGGGCATGTGTCCTGACTGGGAATGGAACCGGCGACCTCTTGGTACAGGGGTTGACACTCAACCACTGAGCCCTGCTGGCCGGGCTTTGCTGTCTCTTCAATGCTCCCAATCCCTAATTACAGACAAAGTAAATGTGACTGCATGAGGTTTCTAGGAATGATGTCAGCGCCTACTCCGTGCCAGGCACCATGCCCTTTATATGGGCATCTCTGCCCATTTTCACAACAACCCTGTGAGGCAGGCACTATCATTCTTTCCATTTTATAGATGAGAACACTGAGTGCAGGGAGGTTAGATAAGCTGCCGAGGGTGCTAAGCGAGGAAGCGGTAGAGGCAGGACCTGATCTCGGAGGCTGGTTCAGGGCCCGTGCTCTCCTGCTGAGTGGCAGATGGGCACTCAGGCTGAAGAATGCTCCACTCCGGAGCTCATGTTCCAATCACTCTGCTCTGTTGGCATATGGACCAGATCTCCTAGGGCCAGGTAAGGTTTCCTCAGGTAGAAAACATTCAGGTCACAAGAGAACAGCCTAGATTTGCACCTACCCCCCTCTTCTCAGCCCCACCCCTCTGTTCCTCACCTAACTCCTTGCCCGAGCCCAGGTGTCTTTCTGTAAGTTCTGTCCCTCAAGCTCACATGTCCTACCTTCTCTGAAGCCCTCTGGGACCCACCCATTCGGTCAGTCACGTTCAGTACCGTCAGAGCTGTGGATTAGAGTTGCTTGAAATCATTTTAGAGTTAGTTGCACCATCATTAGACACCCCTGCTGGGCGCGGGGAGGGAGAGCGTCTCTCAAAGAAGAACTCTGTTCTGTTTGTCTGCCCTCCTTAGAACGTCGCCCAGCAGCTGGCACATAATTGCTACTCAATGATCAAATGCAGTTTATGAAATGTCCCTTGCTTGGATTTCTTCCAAGATGCTTATCATGTAATTCAGGTGATTCTGGTGTCTGCCTCTAGCCCATCATGGTCAGATGTGGTTTCTGCCTGTAGATGTTACACTGAGCATATTTTGATGATTCAGAGTCTTTTCTGCCAACGATGGAAACACCCGTAAGGGCATGCTGGCCCTGTCACCACAGCAGCGCCCGCCGTGGACGTCCTTCCCGAAGGTGGTCCACTTCACTGCATTTCCACTATCAGAGAGTGGATCTCAGTTCCCCCATCCCATCACCCTCCAACTCTTCCCTCCTGTCTCTTAAACCGAAGTAGAGAAACAGAGAATGGGAACGGAAGAAACGGAGAAACTCGGGCTTCTGGCAGTCCTGGGTGGGAACCTTTGCTCCGGGATACAGACTGAGATAGCAAATGGGACCTCTAGGACACCGAGTGGCCACAGATGCTCTGTTCTCAAAAGGGGAGACTTGGCTTGGGGACAGTGGACACATGGCCACTGTCTATTTTGGGACTTAGATCCACTCGACATGGGGTAACTTTCTGTAGCTAGGATGGTGGAAGCTGAAACTGCTTGCCTCCCTAGAGTCGGCCTTTATACACCCCTTGGTGTGGGCCCAGTTGTAACCAAGAGGCCAAAACGCATTGGCTCCAATAGGAGAGAGTCCTGTAATAGTCCAGCTGGTCAAGGCTGGTGGGTGGCTGTGTCCCTGAGGTCCCTGTTCCTCCCCCAGCTGCCAGGGCACAGTCCTCACCTGTGTGATTGAAGCTGAT